ACACACACACACACACACACACACACACACAGAGGATAAAGCCATATGAAGTCATCTCACTCACTTGCAAACTTCTGCACTGTACACAGACACATGGAAAGAGGAGATAGTAATGCTTAAAGGCAACACTAAAGGCCGATTTGAATTTAAAAAACAAGCGATCAATCACTTCAAGCAAAGATTATCATTTCACTCGCACGCTCTGAGCCAAAGCTGGTAAAAAAATGTTAAGCACTCTGACAGCAGCCAATACGCCCTTGAACACACTTCACACTACCACAGTTCAGTATATCTACTGGGAACAGTTCAAGCGTGCCCCACCAGCCCCACCATACCATCACATGTATCAGCTCTTCAATAAAGAAATATAGAACTTTGCTTTTTAACAACTCAATATCTCAACCACATCAAAGCACTCTGCTCCTGTGTGACCCTGAATACATATTTTCTTATCAGACTCAGAATTTCTACAGGTATTTTTCTGCTGAGATAGCAAAGGTTTAACACTATGGCTATTCATCCATCCATTATTTATAGTTTCCCTCTAGCCAAATCTTAACCAAAGAGGGTATTCATTAAAATGTGCATGTCTTTATATGATCTTATATCCTACTTGCTTACAACTATATGAGAAAGCGAGTTGTATGTTTAGAGTTAGGTGCCTTCTATCACCCGACTCTCAGATAACATTCATAGCATTAAAAAAAAAAAAAACATAGCAGCATAGCATAGCAGACAAACATAGCATTAAATCAACTATCTGCCTTTCAAATATTTATGTATTATATATACTTTACATTTATTTGTTCTCATGTAAATACGTGTAAATGTGCATCTCTCTCTTATGCTGTCAGTGATTCTCATTCATCACAACAGGTTTTAAGTCAGCAAATAGAAATAAACTGATTTACTTCTTTTTAGCTTACTAGATCTATTTTTTCATCTTTGTGTATTGCAGTCACTAAATGCACTTGCTTGTTGATATTCCTCTGCAAACATTTTCATTCTAACTTGAAGTAGTTTGGGCTTCACAATGAAGATGTATTCGCAGGGTTTGTTTTCACATCTGCTGAAGAGGGAAACAGAATTGCAATTACAGGAAACTTGAGTGATAATTTATTTTTCCCCCTATTATCACTGAATGATAGGTTACAATGTGAAAGAAAAAACATGTCATAGAGAAAATTGTATTCTGAGTAGATACAAACTCTCTGGCCGCTTCATTGGATAAACCTTGCTAGCATGTTAGACGACCTTTTGTTTTCAGAACTGCTTTAATTTTTCATGGCAAAGATTTGAAAAGGTGCTGAAATCATTCCTCAGAGATTTTGGTCCATATTGACAATGACAGCATCACACAGATGCTGACAATTTGCTGGTTGTACTTCCATGATATCAGTCTATGTTCCATCACATCCCAAAGTGCTCTTCATATCAGATCTGGTGAGTGTTGAGGCCAATGCAGGAAACTCACTGTCATCTACAATAACCAGTTTGAGACGATTTGAGCTTTGTTACATGGTGTGTTATCCTGCTGGAAGCTGCCATCAGAAGATGAATATACTGTAGTGATAAAGGGATGGACAGCAGCAATAGTCAGAGAGGGCATGCCATTTAAATAATGCTCAGTTGGTACTACGGGGCCCAAGAGAGTAGAAATGTGCCAACACCTTCCTAAACTGTTCATACAAGGCAGAATGGCTCCATGCTTTTATGATGTTTATGCCAAATTATGACTCTACCATGTTAATGTTTTCAGTAGTTTTACTGTCCAGTTTTGGTGGGCCAGTGTAAATTGTAGCCAGTACAGTTTTTAACTGACAGGAGTACCTGATGCAGTCTTCTGCTGCTGCTACAGTCCATTTGCTTCCAGCTTCAATGTGTGCTGTATGCTCACAGATTTTCTTCTGCATGCCTTGGTTGTAATGAGCTGGTCTTTTAGTTATTGCTCCTACCAGTTCAAAGCAGTCTGGCCATTTTCCTCTGATCTCTGACATCAACAAGCTATTTTCACCCAGAAAACTGGTGCTCACTTGATTGGTCCAAAAAGAGAAACTTTCTCTATAAACCCTAGGACAGCAGTCCCCAACCCCCGGGCCTCGGACCGGTACCGGTCCGTGAGTCGTTTGGTACCAGGACGCGAGAGTTGAGGCTCAGGTGTGAAATTCCAGATACTGATTCCTAGTTTAAACTTCACCTGGTCATCTTGACCATGTCTACATCTACATACATGAGTTGCTGCCATGCGATTGGCTGATTAGATATTTGCATTACCCACCAAGTATACACCTCCATGCAAAAGTCTTGAGCCACTGCTAATTTCTTTATATATTACTTCCAAGGAGCTACACTTTTTGGTGGCCACGGTAAAAGACCTGAAATATTTACTTTAATGTCGAAGAAGACTGCAAAATAGATTGCAAAATCAAGGAATGTGATAATGGCAAGGGGGTAGGCAGAAATGACACGGGAACACAGAGGAAGAATATGAAGTAACATGAAAGGGGTGTGGCATAACAGGACGGATGAGTAAAGATTGGAATTAGGAAAAGACATGGAGGATGAACTGTCAAAACCACATAAGCTCCGTTACTATGACATCCACACTTTTACCAGCTCACTTTACCGCTTAATCAAAGTCTAGCCTGAGTGATTACATGGCCCCTTTTTTTCCATGAAAGTGTCACTATTTTAAAAAAGCTCCTAATACTGAGCTCTAGGAATCATTTCTAATTTATTCTCACCAGTCCTGATCTGCCAACCAAAGCTATTATAGGAAAGTCAGGATGATGTGCTGTCAGAAGCCAGAGAAATAGATGTCATCCACAGCAATAAGCCTGTAATAACTACCGTCAAATTATTTTCAGGGACTAAGTAACTTTTCCCTCATCTCCCCATTTGGCCCCTGGCGCCTCTTTTGCAGCTTGTGAAATGCTTATTATTAAAATTGCATAACTATGCATATAGCATTTGAGTTGTTGAACTGAGGCAATATAGCCTTTTTGCTTATTAATGTCTAACAAGATTGAAAAAATTCACTCATGCACAAATGTCATTGACACATGTGGACATATTCTTTCATGGTCATATCTCCAACACACATCTGCATATACTGTGTACGGTACAGGAGTGGCCACAGTCAGGTGCGGAACATATCGTTTGGCATTCTGAGTCGCCTCTTTTCCTCAAGAGGATGATTTAGGTGTGTTCGAAATGAGAATGAGAGAATGAGTGGAAAAGGACAAGAGAGGGAAGGAGTGCAAAGCAGAAAGAGCACTTGCTTGTGTTTAGGGTGGCTCACAGTAGTTAAAGTGACATTTTGTTGAGATGTGCACTTTCCAAAAAGCCCTGTGGGGGTGCACAGGGCATGCCCAGCCATGTCAGCCTACTCTATGCAGTCACACTGTATCCTGACACTAAGCACACCAGGCAGGCTAGGCCATGCGCCCAAACACATTATACTCTTTCCTATCTAACACTCAAACAAAAACACGCTAATTTTATCATACCTGACACAGATACAATACCCTCTAATCTAACATGAAAATGTCCTCACACAAACCGAATTTTATCTACCGCACTGTAAGATTACATAAATAGGGACCTTTTTTTGCCCTCAGGTAGTCCATTTGGGTACTCATAATTTGAACTCTGTTTGTTCCATATACAAATTGCATAATGAATGCTCTGTGCTATAAGCAGCCAGCGCCCTGTGTTCTGCATATGACCTACAACGCCTTAGACCTTGGTCTAGCAAAGGATTTTAGGCAGGGACTAGGCTGGGTGATGGAGCACGGATGGCTGCAAAGTGATGCAATTGGACAGCACAGTGGTTTTGTGAAAAGACCGAGCAAGAATATTGTCTGATCTGAACTTTGACACTCTTGTTACAGAGTCATCTTGAGTGGATTTAGAGGAGCTGAAAGTCTACACGGTGCTTTCATTCCCAGTGCCACACAGCAGGTTACAGGACTGAATGAAAAACAACATTGCTTGGTGCAGAGAAATCACAAAACACACATACCTCGCAGACAGAGTTCTATCCTGGGGTGTTATGGGGGGACGGTAAGGGTTGATTCTTTCACACTCTGACAGAGCCACTAATGCTAAAATGTCAGCACGCTGTTGGAAGAGCAGGCAAAAAGAAGCTGTAGAGACAAAGACACAAAGAGAAAGAGATGGGAGGGTTAACATGACAACTAAAAGTCACAAACCTTCTAAAACCAGGTGGGGGTTAATTTTACACCTGCGCTTCAGTGCCCTGCCAACATTAGTATTAAAAAAAATAAATAAACTGTATGCAGAGCTACTGACCTTAAAAATGCAGAAATTAACCATGAAAGAGAAAAACTCCAAATCTCCCTCCAGATATCCCACAGTGAATGTAAGATTAACTCAACTTTACTTTGTGAACTGCTCCAACTATTTTCTGTCTCAAAGTATGCAAGATGTTTTACGCTACTGTATGTCAGTGGCCAAAGCTAATGTAACCAATTAACTATGGTGGCAAACTGTGACATTAGTGACTGTCAGCAGGTGCCAGTCAAATCACATTAGCATTTCTGCTACTCAAGCTCAAGCGGTTTTATTGGTGTCACTGAACTGGAACATACATTGAAGGCATCAGGTGAACTGTACGGCACAACAAGAAGCAACAAGGCAGGTTCATCCATCACTACAAAAAACACAGAAGCCACAGGACCTGGTCCAGTGCCAGATGGATGTGCTGCGCCGTGCTGTCAACAAGAGCTGTTATTTCCAATTGATGAGAAATAAAGCCCAGCTTACTGGAAGATGAATATCATGCAAGGTGATCTCAATCTTAGTAAGATAAATGGCGATACCATGAGAACAAGCTTTACATTAATGAAAAAGTAGGTTCTGTTTCAAATTGGCTTTGCACCCTTATGCCGTGTAGTGAGGCAGCTCAAATAGACAGGGCTCCAGAGTGGAAGCATTTTATTTGGATACGCGACTTAAAACTGGTATCGGAATGAGAAAAAAATTTTGGGGTGCACCAGTGCAACTAACTGAGTTTAATACAGGGATGGTCCCTAAACCAGATACGGACTTGGAAATGCATCTAAATTATTAAGAACCATGGCTTTTTTCAAGTTTTAAGACCTTTTTTTTAATCTGTACTTGAGAAGACGGGAGCGAGATTAGTAGAGCGGAAAACTTGATTTTGGTGTAATTGACGTTGCACAAGGGGCTTCTCCTCTCTATCATTCTCTTCTGCGCTCTCTTTGTCAGCGTTTGCCTAAAGGAAGGGCCGAGCACACACAAACACACACACAGCCTCTTACACACAGGTACAAGAGGTCGTGAAGAAGTAGAAAATATAGAGTTTTACCAAGCTAATAAACACATGCGCATCACCTTCACAGATGAAAAGCCATTTTTAAGATTGTTTCCCATACATCTGTTCAATAAGCATAAATTGCAGGCGAGTTTTCACATTCTTTGCTTGAAATCTCTTGCACAGTATAAACTTTGTTTATGAAGTAAAAGCAACTTCCTGCGTTGGATGACCACACCAATGTGAGGAGCTGCAACATGCAACAAGCTACTGCAAATGTCAACATTATCAAAAGGCTCTCCAAAAAGTTGATTCTGCTCATCTGGACGTAGCGTTTATCAGAAGGCCACAAATAATACTAGAGAAAAACAAAAAGACTGCTGTTCAGCCTTGCTCCTTTAACCACACAACTGTCCATAATCACAATTATGTGTGTAGCCACTCCCGAGGGCCCATATTGAGCCAAGAATATCCCTATTAGGTCCCAAATACATTTTAATTTTAAAAAATAGCTTTACATTTACAATAATAATGATGATATCACATTTGATTGTTTCGTTTCATTATGTTTCATTCGTCTTTGTGAAGCCTTGCTGTTTTTTCACCGGTGTGCTGTGCTCCTTTTACACAGGTGTGACCCAAATAATTAAGCCAATAAATACTATGTGACTGCATGCTGTGTCTGTAAGTTCAGCTTAACTCAAAAATCCTTGGGTCACAAATCAAAATCTGCCTTAAAAATGGTTTTACAGTGCAGCCAAAGATTTATTCATGATCTGGTTGTCTGTTAGACTATTTTTTTGACGAGACAAACCATGTAAATTGCTGTCAACTACAACTCTGTCTGTTAAAATGTTAAGCTAAGAGCAAAGATAGGAAACATGGCCAAGACATTATAACCCATTTGCATAAAGTACTGTTTAACAACAACAACAACAACAAAAAAAAACTGGTGCTACAGGATATTCTCTGTTGGGCTGTTTCTTTTTTTGGCCAGTCTGGGATCAAAATTAAAATGGCAAACTGGATTCTTGGTCTGAAGCCAAGCTATGTTCAAACATTTCTTTTGCTCCATTCCATTACATCACAGCTGGCACAGCTGATATGCCGGGCTGAGCTTTGTGGTATGGAGAAATGATTTACAATGTCAAAAAGATCCAAGAAATTGACATAAATGCTACCATTTTCACTGGCTTTGTTGGAGGGAGAAAGACTCCTTAAAGTCCAGCTACAAGGAAAAAGGGCACAAATGAAGGCTGTAATGTAATGCATTTTCAGCTAAGCCTAAGAAAGTTCCTCAATACTAGTAATGACTGTTGCTAGCAAGTGGCAGGTTCAGCCTCTGAGTGCTTCGGCCCTCAGAAGGGCACAGTAATAGGTCAGCGTAAGCTAATTTAATGTAGATTATCAAAGATGCACAGTGCAATCTATGATTTCACACTGGGAAAGAAGCTGGTGAGCCATTAGGTTATTGATGGCTTTCATTGTCACAAAGAGCACACTGTGAAACAGACAGGTGGTCAGTTAATTGAATTACAACCATGAAATACGTCAGGTGATGTGTCTCAACGTTGCACCGGAACAGCTTCAATGCACCTTCCTCCAAAGGATATTTCTTCATTTTTAAAGATAACGGTACAGAGCTCTTTGAAACACGTTGGGCTAAAGTCCTGCATACATGTCAGATCAGATTCGCCTCATTTCCATACTGTTATACATTATCATCAGTGTTGATATATATCTATATATTAGAGAAGAAATACTTCAAAGGGTATGGTGACTCAGACTGACTTTGTATTCATGAAACAAAGCCTTTCTTCTAAGGATACAAGGGGCACAGGAACAATACCAGATCCACTCATTACAGAAGTCAAAGGTTCAGGAATTATCTTACATTTATTGCCTTCTATGTGTGTCAGAAAACTCCCCTTGCTGTGTGGTGATTGGACAGATAAAAAACCCTATCCACCGTGTTATTTTATAGAAGCTGGAAAAACATTGCTTTTCGAATAAAGATCTACTGCTTGCTTTGATCTTGCCAATGAGTGTGCGATCTGTCTGCCATTTTAAACAGCTTTCTGCTCATAAGTCCATCAAAATCCAACAAAATGTCTTTCTTGCCCAAGAACATTAAGAACTCATTAGGCCGAGCATGATTCAGCTAAATACATCCCAGCCTTCTGTCCAAAGAAAAGGGGAGGGGGAGGAGAACTTGCATCCCTTAAATCCTGTCTGTAACAAAAGTAATAATACCAGTAGAAGCTGTTTTACCCTCCAGTGCTGTGCAATTTGCACATCTTTATGTTTGTTTGCTAGCTTTCTGAGAACCTGTTTTGCAAATGTTACTGCTGTACCTCAAAAAACACGTGCCTCAGATTTTTTACTATCATGTAAAAGCAAGCAAACAAACAAAAGAAAGTGCATTTTTAAAGCCATTACCAACATGGACAAAAAAGAAAAAGAAAACTAAAATTCTCGGTAATGGAATAGACAAAGCATATGTTTTCAAGTGAGACCTTCTACTGTACTGAAAAGAAGAGGGAATTATTCCTGCCAGATATAAAAATCCCAAATACACTTTTGGTCAAAGAAAATACAATTTAACAACCTTTAAAAGCAGTTTTTAAAAGGAGAAAATAGTCATAAAAATAATTTTTAAAAAATGTTACTTATTTGAATTATCCTTTTTACGGCAGCATAAATAAAGGTGTTATCTTGGGATCAACAGGAAAAGTTTCACATTCCTATTTTAGCTGTTGCGAAACTGCAAAAATGTGAGGGAAAGTAAACATTCAGCTCTGAGGCTGTAAATAACATGACTAACCTGTAAAATGAAATCAGATGGAAAAGGACAAATCTTCACTATATGCTTTTAAAGTTTGCTGGACATAACAGAACCAGCAAAGAAAAATACAACCTCACATTCAGTGTTAAATGCTGTGCAAGGACATGGCAAACATCTTAAATTTAATGGAAACAGTTTCATAGGTCAAGAAGCACTATCAACTGTAACTACATTGCTGACCAAGAATGTCCAATTTGTGCTTCTTCTTCTTCTTATTTTTCTTTATATGTGAGCCAGAGGTGTATACGCCACACACCGGCACGCTCACAGACTCATAGTGTGAGGCTCCAGAGACCCAGAATGCCCTTTCTTGCTCCCTCTTTTTTTTTAATCCTGGCAATTAGCGAGAAATAATTAATGATAAAAAATGAAAAAGTTGAGGGCAGAGAGCCTTGAAGATAGAGTTCTGCACCGTAAGCATTCAATTCCCCCTCTCAAGGTCCACAAGGTCCACTGCTCTCTGGCTGTGATCCTTATACAGCTACTGGGAGAGACTGGAACAAAGGCCTCTTTGATATCTGCCCACCCTCTCTCACTCAATTTTATACTCTCTCTGCATCTAATACACTATTTTCTTGTTTGCTTGATTGTGCTGGCATAAAACCCCAACCCTACGCACCCATGACTTCACTCTCCCTCTCAACAACAAGGTTGCAGTATGCCTGCTAAGTGTCCATTTGAAAATATTGCAAAGGTTACACCAGACATCTGCTGCTCCACCCAGATAAGACTTTGTTTGATCGCCTCCCTGTGAAATTAATAAGAACAGCCATTAACAATCTGGTAGAAATAGGAAGTTGTTACACGTGCGGCTGTGAAGAGATGGGTGATGTAGCTGAACCTTGATAATGCAGCGCAGCAACGGAGCCATCAGTAGGGGGAGAACTGGGGAGGTCGTGACCTTGTGAAGTCACTTTAGAGCTACATTCAAGCGTAATGTGGATTTGTGATCAGAGTGAAACTGCACGCACATGCATATGCATGCACAGTCTGAAGAGACTGAAGAGAGAGTGATTAGGAAAAAGACGGAAGGAAGGAAAAAACATTCCTGAGCACTTCTGCCCCCTGGTGGCAGTTTGCAGTAGCATCTTGCTGTACTATGTAAAGAAGGCTGTAAGAGAGTTACAGTAGAAGGGGGACTTCTGCGAAAATAGTCTAGGGGTTTCTGCTTATTGCACCACCTCTGCCTCCCGAAGGGTGGCTTTGATCTTTGCATACATTTAAATTCCAAAGAGGCAAAAAATACCGAGGCATGATAGAGCTCATTCATTCATAAATGCAGCTACTGGGATTAGATCTGGAATTACAGAAAGAGCAGACATCATTTCATAATACTCTTCAAGCGAATTGCATTTCATTTACTGGATATTTTAAACACTCATTTTAGACTTTGAATACAGCCTTCACTGCGGTGGTTTTATTTGCCACTAGCACAGATAATTAAGTACAATTCTGAACTACACAGACGCACCAGGTCTTATTAGCATCATGTTAGACAAATCTGTTTGTTTAATCCTGCAGAAACGGCTGTGCACTTTAAGTTGTGAGCACATAAATTTGATTGATGATTCTTGAGCTCCAAAAAGCAGAGTTAACAAGGAACGGATTATAATTGCATAGAAAAGCTAGACAAGCCTGCAGACAGGCGTTTGATCTGATGAATGTGACTGAACCCTGCATCTGTAGTTTATCTCTTTGGCCAGCAGATGGCATCAGCCGTTAGTGCAGTGTGCTGTGGCGCAGTAGAACCACCCCCGTTTTCTGTCCTTTTGGGCAGCGGCTGCAGTGAAGCAACTACAATTTGGCAATCTGGTTGCAGCAAATAGCTTGCTTCCTTATTTTGATCAGATACCCGGGGGTCTAGATTTGTAGAATACGCTACAATTTCTAGCACTTTTGCACTGCTGGCCTCACCCCTCTCACGTTTTCACCAAATTCTGCTCGATATTTAAGCCCCTTTGAACTGTACACCCTCCCACACGCTGGCATACACACACGAATACTTACCCCTTTCAAAGTGCCTTTGACCCAGCAGCACGGCAGATGTTTTCATGTGAAACAGACAAAGAAAGAAAGCAGTAGATCATTAATACACATGCTAAGGAGTATGGTAAAACTTGTCTGGAGAATCAATAGAAACATCAGGAGGAGGAAGAGGATGATTAGATATTGACTGAGGTAATGGGGTGAGGTGAGAAAAAAAATTGCAGTTAGCCAACTGGTGTTTTCATCTTGCAGCTCTAATATGGCCTGTCTAAATGGGTGAGAAACTTTTATCTGTTAATATCCATTTAATGTACATAGAGTGTCACTGTGGGAATTAGGAGACTAGGAAATATTACATGTGACAGAATTACAAGTACCGTATAAAATGGGTTTATAGAGGTTTAACATTATAAGCATAAATCTGGTGGTTTAACACCTAATTCACCACGTTGGTTAAACACAATCTGTTGGGGTTTCTTCAGAGCACTAAGGACAAGCTCTCATTTCTTTGATTAATTATAGGCTTTGGGATTTACATGTAAATGTTTATATTTAATAAGCTCAATCTATGATTCTGGGTTCAGTTATGAAGGGAATTCACGAGTAACACCAGTGAATCGAAAACACTATTTAAGTCACAGGAACACAATTTCTGAGCCAAAACTGTTGTTTACAGTAACAATACCAATGTGTCGTTTATTCCACAAAGAAAATCATAAAAACAACTGAACCATTTTAAAGTTGTAAAGCTCATCACATTAACTTCGAGTGCAAAATTGATGTGACCCTGCTATCAATAAACGGCCGTATAATATGCCAAACACAATCAACTAGGTTGATATCAACCCATATCAGTGTTCTGCTGATGTAATATTGTTTCGTCCTTTCATGAAAGGAAAATTACCAGGATTTTGATATTTTTAGTTTTTGTTTTTTTTTCTAATTTGGCTTTTAATTTACCCAGGCTTTAATTCAGTTCTGTTTAGCAAATGGCCAAAAATTAAAAATAAATAAAACAGTGTTAGTTAAAGTAACACTGAGTGTTTGTCTTAACTACATGCAAACCAATTGTGCTTACATGGGTAGTCACTCCCCAAAGGCTCATTCTGAGCTAGGAAAACACCTGCTTAACACATGTACCACCAACTGGTTATCCTGTTCACATACAGGAAACTCAAGAAATTCGAAAGACAAAACAGTTCAAGAGGAAAAAGCTATGCATTTCATAATGATTATATGAAAACTGCAAATATATTCATTGTGTTGTTTCAATATGAACATCAGAATTGAGGTTTTCAATTGCCATGTACTACAGAGGCCAGCCTAGGGTAGAAAAACATACCTGCAAACCAATTTTAGGCATGTTGAAAGTCCACATACCATAGTTCTAAAAACAAACAAAAAAAAGTATAATACTAGTCATTGAGTAATGCAAAGCTTTACAATATCACAAAGGTAGCACGTATGGCTGGAGTAAATAGTACATTTCCTTTATGTTTTCCATAATGCTGACCCTTTACTGCCAAGCCTGTTAACATACCTGAAATTTACATATCCTGACTAGGAAGGAAACGTTTGCAAGGTGGCAAACATTCGTGACAATCGCTTACATAATACTGAACTGACCTCTGTTCTGCGAAAACGTACAAAACATTTCTAACTTGCAGTGAATGATTGTTCCATGACACAACATGCAGCTACAGCAAGCTTTTATTTTGGTAGGAGTGACGTTAGCTTATAGCTAGTGCATTGACATCAGCCAATGCGAGCTAAAAAAAATAAAAAATAAAAAAAAAAACCTGACAAGTACGCTATTTAAAAAGCATTTAAAGTTAGGTTAAGCTATTGTAAGTTAACGTTTCATGACGACCTATTCGCGAATTAATTCGTTGCATTTTTACCATTTACTCCTTGTTTGCAATCTTTCTCAGTAGCTCACTACGTAGACTTTATGATAATGGAACTGGAGAAACAACAGGTGTAGTACATCACACAATTAAGCAATTAGATTGGAATCCAGTCAGGTTGTGGACAATGCTTATTTACATTTTCTGAAGCAAGATTATTTAATGGTTATGTATAAAACTTAAATATATTGTGAAGGCTTAAAAATCAGAGTGGAATGTATCGTCATTCTGCCTGTTTGGCAGGAGCCTGTTTTTCAGTCGCATACAACAAATTTCATTTGAAACGTACACATCCGGGTCACGTTAAAAACGTAAGCTACAAGACTACATACTCCCAGCGCACTTTTAGTTTAAAAAAAATGAAATTCAAACTTAATGCGAATTATTTAATGTACAATATTAAAACATTATTTTATTATTTCTCTTTTCTCTGTACTTAAAAGGTTAGTATTTAGTATTTAGTCCCTCACTTGCCGATCCACTTATCTATTTACTAACATATTTCTCAGGTGTAGTTTCCAGTGTTGAAAGGCATGCACCACACCTGCATCACTCTTCATCAAGTCATTTGGGCACATCTTGTGTTACTCACGCTGGCGCATCCTCAGTCAGGAACAAATTCATTAAAAATGACCACACAGTAGAGAACATCATGCATCAGTCTATTAGGGTTTTTTCAACAGTCTAGCTAATCACATCTCTTTTAGAAACAGTCAAGAGAAAACTGTAGCACTGCTGAGAGGAAAGAGCTTCAGTTCATGTGAATCCCATCAAGTGTAGGATTGACACTAAGGAGGTCACCTTGAGAAAGGAAGGATTTATAGGAGGAAACCGGATCAAAGGAATACCACAACAAACTTTGAGAAACTGTTTGGCAAACTAATCAAAGAAAGAAAGAGGTACGCTACATCTGAAGCCAGTCAAAGTTAGAAGTGACTTTAAAGTGTAGACTGGTGGAATAATCACAGTCTTCTTGGTGGAATGACTAACTCATAAAATTGGATAAATGTTTCAGAAGCCTATTGCTGTGATGTCCATCACAAAATGGTCTGAGGGAAGTCCAGAGGAGGCGCTTTAACAACAGCTAAAACAGGGTGGTTGAAACATGGAGACATTGAGAAACGCAGATTAGCTTGAACACTGTCTTAGCAATGACCAAAGCAAGAAACAAATGTGTGTTCACGTCCATTAAGGAAAATAATCCAAGACAAAAATGGTGACTTGCTAGAGACTGGATACGGATATGCTGTTCAAATGTAGAAATCACTTGTATTAGTTGTCTTGATGATAGAAAAATAAAGAGGTGCCCTAGGGGAGTAGTACCTACCTTGAAAACACAAAAGTAAACGTATATGAAAACAAACACAAGCTTTCATAAAAAACACAATACAGGAAGGGTTTGGGCTTGTTAAAGCTTTATTTATAAGCAATGAAATTCAGTCATCCATGACTAAGGAGCTTGGAAAGAAAAGCGTCTGGACTTCTTTGAGTTGCTTGAAGACGTTTCACCTCTCATCCGAGAAGCTTCTTCAGTTCTAAGGTCAAATGGTGGAGAGTCCCAGATTTAAACCAAGTGGGAGTTTCCACCCAAAGAGGGACAAAGGACCCCCTGATGATCCTCTACCTAATCACATGAGCCAAGGTGTCATCCATCCTCTTTTGCTTATCTAATTCACTGGTGCAGGGCGTTGGAGACTATCTCAGCTGCTGTAGGGGAAGTACATCCTGGACAGAGAGACAGACAACCATTCACACTCACATTCACACCTACAGCCAATTTAGAGTCGTCAGTTAACCTAACCTCATTATCTATATGTCTTTGTACTGCAGGATGAAGCTAGAGTGCCCAGAGAAAACCCAGTAAACATGAAGAGAATGTGCAAACTCTACACAGAAAGAGTCTGGTCACATGGTAGATATAGACCCAGGACTTGAAAGGCTATATGACTAATTTGAAGGAAAAGTCAAGCTGAAATCTTATGAAAAAAAGCTGACCACCAATGTTCCCTCTAAGCTGCGCGCGTGCGCAATTGCGCACTGCTGGCACTGTCTCTGCGCACAGAAAATCTGTGTTGCGCACAAAAAAATCCAACCTGAATTGGGCTGCTCCCGTATGGGATTAGAACGATGCCACCTTATCCTGTAGTCCAGCCAATAATGCGATTCACATTCGTATATACGCAGCTAATCAAAGTCGTTGACAGGCTATGACAGCGTCCTTATGTGCTGACACCGGTGTTTTAGCTAGCAAAGCGGAGTGGCTGATGTGGAGTGAAGCCATGTTAATGGCAACGTGCACAACCATTGGAGATGTGAGCAGGACAGACGGAACAATTAACGGGAAAAACTGTGGACTTTATACCAGTTTTTAAATTGTGTTGATAGGCCACGTAAAACCAGAGTTATGATAAAAAATATATGCAATGTTTGGTTTTCTTCCTGAGTGCTATCGTTGTTTATATTTACTGCGGGAAGAAACGGTAAAAACGGCGTTTTATAAGGAAAATGCTCGAATGCTCTCCACCTGCGAGCAAAACCAAAAAACCCCACCCTTTCCTATTCTTCGAAAAATGTACCGTGTCGACCAATCAAAAAATGATATGGCGACATGGTATTTAGTTGTTTAGGAAGGGGGGAAGTTTTAGGAGTGATGGCAGTGTTTTGAGATGTGAGAGATTTGCGGCGTTCTTGTGTAGTTAGTGTGTAGTGTAGTCAATAATTTTGTTGTGTGTGTCAGAACAATGAGGCGACTGCTGAATGTTACAGCAGTGATACATCTCCTGTTGTCAGGCCTGCAGGTATCAGACTGTCGTTCTGCTTTATCTCATAGTGGACAGAAATTATTTTTGGATTGGCACAAATAATTTGTGTGGCATCAAATTTGATGCAGAACAGCTGATTGTTCTGTAAATAGTTTGAAATGTTTATTTAAAAAAACGCCTTGGCTGCATTTTTAGGCAAACAGCTGCAAAAAACTTTGTCGCTTGCATAACTCAGTTACTTTTTTCAAGAAGTAACTATATAATTAATTGCCCAGCATTGGTCATTATATACTGTATTTTGCAGACAGAGAGTTACAGGACTCTCTCCCAGACCACAGACTGATAATACAAGTCAGAGCTTTATAAAAAAAAAAAAGAAAAAGAAAAAGAAAGAAAGTTGTGTTTTCAAAATTGAAGTTCAAATTATTTTTTACTTCTAATAGTGTTAACATACTACACAGGTCATGAACAGTTAATTAAAAGTAGTCTAACATAAATGTAAACGCTGTAATTTGATTATTTTAATAAACCATGTAACCTCGATGGGTTCGATGCTGGTGTGACCACAGTGCACACGTCTGCTGTTGCTCACAGTAGACCAAGGGGTCGCTCAGGGAGTTTGTGTGTTCGCTCAGACACATGGAAAATTAGAGGGAACATTGCTGACCACATATGAGATCAGGCAGTGCTAAATAGTAAAGGTTTGATCATTAGGTCTTCTGTCTAATTTTGTGACAAGTTATGTAATCACATGATAAACACATCTCAAACAATGACAGTTTTGCATTGGGAATGACAAAACTGGACAAATGAGCTTAAATAACAGCAGCCAAATTGTTCTGAGGGAAATTTGTCATTTTAGGGTTATGATGATGACTTGCCAGGTTTGTGTACACCCCTTCAAGTGTGAATAAAGTTTAATTTGGGATCCCAGAAAGTAGATTTTGTTTGTCTGTGGGTGGAGCGTTTCCAGTGGGAAAATATATTTCATCACTCATCTAAGTGATTTCTTTATAAGGCCGGGAAAACCTGCAGTCAGCTGAGACTCAAGAAGTCACTTGGATGAGTGATGACACAGTGAAAACACTGCATCCATATGAACAAAATCAACATTTCTGGGATTGCTTTACTTGGATTATTTAGCACGCATCAAGACATTTAATTTGACATGGTAAAATAAGAAGATTAGCTAGAGCATCACAGCAGTAACTAACACAGCATTGTCTTCTTTTCCAGGGGGTGTTGCATTGAGTTTGGCAATAATGGCTGTAACTGCTTTGGATTTTGGCCAAAGTACAAACATTTAGCACTGTTTGTAGTCTTAGAGTGTATGTTTTAACAAATTTGTTTTGTGCATTCAATTATTTCTTTGTGATTTTTTTTTCTTTCATTAAAGCTATAACATGAATGCAGCATCACCACCCATGTGCCAGTGTGCATGGGAGCAGCCAGATCTCATGAGGTTGGAGAGTGCACGTGAACACGTGCCTGTATGTGAGCGGTGGTGCACGGTGGGTCCGCATTGAAAAGGGGGGATGGGTGCACGCAGCGCTGCATGTCACTTGATCTCGAACATCAGAGCAGATAGATATAGCTAAAGCGATTAAATGAGAGGAGCGCCTTGCGTCACTGGCAAGGTGGCTGCCCTGGATATGTGAATGGATTAAGAAGGGAACTTGAGTGCATGAATGGACAATGAATGAATATCACAAAATTTTA